ATGTAGGGGTAAAGGGGTACTAGATTTAGTGGGTCGATTACTTTGTGAGCTATATAGATTTCTAATCACTATGTTGTAGTGAAACTGAAACTAATATATTATTGTATACCAACTATAATTTGAAAATTTTTAAAAGTAAAAAAAATTAAAAAAAAAGGGAGCCCGGCCAAAAAAAAAAAAAAAAAAAAAAGGAAATATTGTCTCTAGTTCATGAAATAAGAAATAAAGGTGTTACTTAAGTTCATAAAGTTTCATTAGAAGCAGGAAGAGTTGAACTTAGTGTAAATAACTTAAATCCTCATCTGTCATAGCAGGACACCAATGGGTATCTGAAATTGATAAAAGAAAAATTCCCACATAGCATAATATTTAGATATGGATATAACAATCATAAGAAATAACTAAAAGTTGTTGCTAATAATTAAAAGTGGTAGAGTGGCAGGGTGGGGATGTGTGGGGCAGTAGGCACTTGCTTTTCATAATGTCCTTTTGTACTGATTCTATTGATTTGTTTTCTAAATAACATGCATGTGTTACTTCTATTTTTAAATGAATATGTATTTAAATTTTATTTTTAAAAACACAGAAAAAAGACACTCTTGTCCTCTCCTGCCAAACTACCTTGTCCCTGCAGATCTAATGACAGCAGAATATAGAAAACTTTGGGAAACCTTCAGTTTCCCTTCCTGCCTCTCCCTTAAATGCAGCGCTGCTGCGGTCAAACTGAAATATTCATTCGCCCAAACTTGCCATATTTATACCCACCTCCTTGCTTGTTTTCATGCCTCCCAGGCCTGAAAAGCCCTTATTCCTTATCTCTACCAGCTGGAATCCTGAATTCTTCAAGGCTCAGCTCAAATTCCACCTCCTCTAAAGTCTTTTCCCTGATCCCTCTCCACCCTCCCAACGGTTGTGCTCTCTCAGGCCCCTGGAGCTCCCTCCTCCGGGCCTCCAGAGTCTTCGTTCATGCTTCTAAGAACACTTACATGTTCTTTCTTCAAGTACATTTTTAAGTCAGTGCTTAATGTCCCCAACCATCTACCAGAGTGATCTTCCTTCTGACTCTGTCACTCCCCTCCTTCAAACCGTTCTATGGCTTCCCATTGCCCATAGGATCAAAGCTAAGCTTGATTGCCTGGCTTCCTGCACTTCTTCCACTGCATGGGACAATGCTGGCTCTCTTCCAAACCCATGCACTTTCATACTCTTCACATAACTTTACTTAAGCAGCTTCTCTGCTTCGAAAGTTCTTTCCCCCCTTTCCGTGTGGTAAACACCAACTCTTCAAGACTCAGTCAGCTGTCCCCTTCTCTATAAAAGCTTTCTTGAGTACTCCCTCCATCCTGCCCAACCCCAGGAAGAACCATCCAATGGTCCTATGTTCTCTCACTTCTAGACTTCTGTATTTCCTCTGCCACACTTGGTGCACTTATCTGCTTACTTAGATCGGAGTCCCAAATAAAATGTGAATTCCTGGATTTCAGAGAGTATATCTTATTCCCAGAACCTAGCACAAGGCCTGACACACAGCAGGAACTCAATGTATGCTTGCTAAACAAATGGATGGGAAAGTGATGATTGAGTGGATACAGAAAAGAATAAATGAACAAATGAATAAGTGCTTATATTAATGCATGGAAGTGTAAGTGAATGAGTTATACATGAATAAGTGAATAAATGCATGACGAGTAGATGAATGAACGGAAAAAAAAAACAAGCCAATAAGTAAATGAAAAGTGCCTGTACCAGTGAGGGTATGAGAGAAAGAATGAGTGAATCCCCACCTCCGTCTTGGTTCAAACCCACCTGGAACACCTTCTACCCTGCTCTCCATTCATCTAAGGTGCATAGTACAGTGTTAACCTCTTGTAGATTACAAGAAACAGACACACTCAGGTTAGAGATGGAGATTTATTGAAGGAATCACTTGGAAATAAGAAAGACAAAAACAGCTACACAGGCAGCCTCACAGAAAAGCAGAAACTTGAAAATGGTTCATGATCCAAAGCAGCTCTAAGAGCCTAGCTTATCTTGTCATTCCCTCAGCTGCAGGCATCTCTTGGTCTCTTCTCTAGTGCTTCCCAAAATGGTGACTCAACTTCTTTTTGGCTGTATTTATATTCCTACTGCTACTGACTACCTTCTCTCTGCTCCCTTCTTCACTATCCCAGGGCCTTCAGGACCTGGCAACTTCTGGCCTTCCTGGCACCTGCAAGCATCCTGGCTTCTGGGGCTTCAGTTCCAAATAGTCCGGGGCTTCACTGTTTTGTAACTTCTGCTTGCCTTGTAATTCCTGCTACTTCTTCAATTCCTGTTGCCTTGCTGCCACGTGATTCCAGTTACCTTGTGGTTTTTGCAGTGTCATTGCTTCTGCTACCTCATGGATCTTGTCTGCTACTGTATGGATCTCACAGATGCAGAGTTTTGTCACATGGTTTTTGTTTCTCATGGCTCCCGGTACATCATGGTTCCTATTGCTTCATGGCTTCTACCTTGTGGCCCCACATTCTCATGGTACATACATCTCATGGTTTCTTCAGTTTTCCCCTTGCTTTTGCTGTTTAGTTTCTGGCACACCTCATCACCACTTCTGCTTCGCTAAAATCTAACTGTTCACTTCTTCTGAATGCCTCACATTCAGTCTCACTGAAAAAGGATGATTGTTTCATACATTTGTCATTCGATACAGGCCATCTCTATGAGGCACAGTTCTTACATCGGTCCACCTAATAGGCTGCCAGCCAGCCTAGAGATTGGCTGTCCTCGAGTCAGGTACTATCCCAACCTAACCATCTGTGGCCAGGATTGTGAAGTCACACCGTACAGAGCACAGCAACCCAGACTTAAGAAATGCCTTAGAAGAAACTGTGGGCATGGCAGGTTTGCTGACGGTTTCCAGAAGGGGGCAGTGTAATTGCAAACTTCTTGTTTTTAGCCTGTCCAGTACATTGAATTTCAAGGCCAACACAAGCCCCACCTTCTCCCTGGCCACCTACCTCTGCCTGTCCTAATCTGCAGTGAGGCGAGATCAAGGCTCTGGGGCCAATGTGGAAAGGGAAATTAGGTTCCAGTTCTGGCTCCAATACTTCCTAGTAGTAGGACCTTGGGCAACTTCCTTCCCCTCCGAGAGTCTCAGGAGGGGCATGGACAAAGTCTATACGTTTCTTTACAGATCTGACATCTGGGCATCTCACTTTAGGTTACTTTATAAGGGATGTGGGTTTTACTTGGAGAAATCCTCAAAAACACCTCTTGAGGTAGGAAAGACAAGTCAGCGTCCTGGCTTGGAAAAGCCTCACTGCACAGGAGGTGCTTAGCCAAGATTTATCGAACTGGATGAATGAATCAATGGCTGGGGTTGAGGGAAAGACCACAAAGCACACAGAGAATGTTTAACTAACTTGAGGAATTGCAGTTGGTGAGGCCGGAGGGAGATTCTGATTCAGATGAATGAGAATGGGATAGGGAAGGAATCTTGGCTATTAATGGGCGAGTACTCATTCTATCCTCTCAGTTACCCTCTATGTCCAGTAATCAGTCACCAAGCCTGGTTCATCATTGTCCCTTAACAGCTCACACCTTATCGCCTCCAATCCATACCCACTGCCCTTGCCCTTGAGTAGGCCTCCTGGTATTTTCAATAGCTTCCTAAATAATCTCCATCTTCTCTTCCCTCAGAAATGCATTCATTGATGCATTCACTCATTCAAAACTATTGGGTGTCTGTTTTGGGTCAGGCACTGTGTTTTTTGCTCGAAATATGACAGTAGCAAGATAATCCTGGACCCACCCTCTACGTAAGATGGCCCCCCGCCCCCACCTTTTCTGTTCCTGTCAGAACACTGATCATACTGTATGGCTGTCTTATGAATTGCCTACCCAACTAGAGAGTGAGCTCCTTGAAGGCAAGATAAAGATTTGACTCATGTTTGTGTCCTTGACATGCAACACTGTGACATTCAAGAATGAAGTGCCCAATTAAAGGTAGACACTGTTGTGGAATACTCTTCTACTGGGTCCAGAGCACAAGGGATTCAGCCTAGTGTCCTCCAATGAACCCTAAGGATGCAACTCAGACCCAGCTTTCTCATGGAAACATACCGGGGATTCTGCTCTCCACTGAGCACAGCCTTCACTGAGCATGTGTTGCCTTGCGATGATTGAGGCAGTGTAGCACTATGGGAAAGCACTGGGCAAGCACAGAGAAGATTGGAGGTGAAGTCTAGGCTCTGCCACTGAAACACTCGGATTTCAGACAAGTCATCTCACCTCTCTGATCCTCAGGATTTAAGTCCATTTCAGCACTTGTGTTCCTGTGTGCCAGGGCCTTAGCCCAAGGCATCTCATGTAATCCTATCCACCCTATGAGGTAGGAATTAGTTATCCATTATCTACACCTACTAAATTAGATTTCCAGGGGCGGGACCAAAGCAAAGCGCTCCATATCCTTCGGATGTAGAGATGTCAGCAGAGAACTGCTGCTTTTCATTGTTAAGTTCTGTACTACTTTATTTTCTAACCAGTGTATAATATTGCCTTTTTTTTTTTTTAAAGAAAAAAGCCTCACAAGTGATTCCAATGCACAGCCAAAGTTGATAACCACCTTCACAGTGGAGAAAGCCCGAGACTGAATTGGAGGGCCTGGGTTCAAACCCTGTTATCTAGTAACTGGGTCGCTTAACCTTCCTGGGCCTCAGTTTCCTTACCTGTAAATGGGGAGAATAGCAATCGCTACCCTTAAAGGCATGTGATAATCTAGTTGCCAAATTGCTTCAAACGTATTTCATCTTCCCTACATGGCTACAAGGTAGGCCTCTATTATCTCCTTTGCTACACAAGGAAACTGAGACTCAGGGAGGTGAAGTGATGAACTCAAGTTTCTACAGCTGGGAGTTGAACTAGGGTGACTTCCAAATTGTGCTCTTCCAGATATGCCACTACTTCCCAAGCTGCGGCACACATACCACTGGTGGTATGGGACATTTTTGATTGAACACAAATTTATTTTGTTTTGATAATTATACCTTTTAATATGCATTAGAAAAAAACAACAGCACATCAAACCCATGATTTCACGGATATCACTACTTAAGATGAAACTGAAGTAGATAATGATGTTACACCTAAGACAATCTCAAGAAAAATATTGAGTAAATAGTACAGGAGGGCAATTTGGAAGTGTCTATTAAAAACAAAAATATAAATAGCCTATGACTCTGCAATTCAACTTTTAGGAATCGATCATAGGTAAATTTTCAGACACACACACACACATATTACTCCTATGTAATATTTTGTAAGAGCAAAATAGTCTTACTATCACAAGATAAATGGGTAAGTAAAATGTGGTAGTCATAATGGCAATCTATACAATCACAAAGGTGACCTGAATCTACTGGCAACATGCATAGATCTCAGGAACATTAAGCAAAGAAAGCAAATTGCGGAATGACTCCATATACCATTTGCATTAAACACAATAAAATTTCCAATGATTTCATATATGTAAGTCTTAAAACAAAGTCTAGATAGATGTACAACAAAGAGAACAGCAGTTAAAAAGGGGGGAATGGTAGCTGAATAAGCCTAGCTTTACTTGTAACAACCTAATTTCTTAAAAAGAGAATGACTTCATGCACTCTTGGGTAATCAGAACTCATTTAACTTTTAAAAAACAAAAATGCAGTATACAGACTGGGACAAGGTAATAGTCTGACGATACATATGAATGAGCAAAGGCTGACCTCATGGCAGCAGGCTGTGCTGCCTCTACATGGTCCCTGCCGCTAATGTGGTTAGTTCCCAAAAGGAACGTCACATGGATTTGGCTGGGGTGTGGGCCATGCTACCTCTCCCCCACTTCCTCACAACTCAGGTTGGGGCTTAAGCACCCAGTTATTATAGATGATTGGAGCTACAGATTTCCTTAGGCCTTCTACTTACCAGGTAAACCCCATCAGTGCCCTGAAACTTTCCCAGTAACCAGGGCATTCAGTATCTCCAAGATTTGGAGGCTCCTTATGTCCCTAACAACTGGGATCAGAAGCACTCAGGGGTCCAGGCATGAGAAGGCTGTATTCTGAGGGGTTGGCACCTAGTGGGCTCCAAGCAAGGATAAGGCCTCCAGTGAGGAGCCTGACATCATTAAATCCTATGAGGTAGGTAATATTGTTAACCTCATTTTACAGATGAGGAAACTGAGGCACAGAAAGGTCAAATGACTTGCCCAACGTCAAACTAGTGAGTGATTAAAAAAAAAAAAAAAAGACTAAAACCTGCAACTATCCCCAGAGCCCAGGCTCTGCTCCTAGTGCCTAATCAAATCCTATTGAGTTATCGAGGTACGGCTCAAATGTGACCTTCTCCAGGAAGCCTGGAGGTGACCGTCCTCTTCTCAAATTCTAAGTGCCTATAGACGTGGTTCAGTCAACCACGGGAACTCATGAACCCATAGCATCTCCTTAATAGGAGGGATCATGTCAGATTCAGCTCTGTATTCCTAGGAAAGAGCCTGACAGAGGTTGTTCAGTATGTCTCCGATGAATATATGAATAAATAAAAATACAAATGGATAAATGAAGACAGTTTCATGTGACTGCCTGACTCCTATGAAGTCCTGAATATCTTTGCCCAGCTCTGGGGTGCTGTCACACTAAGCTCTCTTGGAGTCAAATTTAGCCTAGGCCTCTTCTAAAATGGGTCTCCGATATCTTTATTATTTTGCAAACATACCCACATGCACTTGGGGACACACACATACACACATATCCACACACAAGCAATATGCAAGAAGCCCCATAAACTCATAATTACGGGTGATGCGGGGGGAGGTTCTGGGAGGCAGGAAGACGGGAATGGACAGATGGCCCTGTCCAGCTCAGCACCTTCTTCCAGAGGCCAGGATGCTCCCTGTGGCTCAGGAGTTTTTGCTCCAGACCTAACATCACCTATGTTCCTCTTCATGCTTGATAGCAGTGCTAAATCCCATGACTATAGCAAATAGGGGAAGGTTGGGAGCCAAACATCCAGAGATTAAGAGAGGGACAGCTTAGGGACCCAGATTGGGCGGGAGGGCAGAACTGCTACTGCTCATTGGGGTTGGGGTTGGCATCTGGATACTTGGTGAGGTCAAAGGTCAGGACTTTGCTGATCACACAGTCCCCTTGCTAAAGGAATGAGAAAAAAGAAAAATGAAATTATAAGGAGAGAATTAAGAGGGGTCTACCACCACAGGACCAGGGGCCTCAGAACCCTCCTCCCTACATACCTGCCCAAAGCCCAGGCAATGGTTCTCCCTGAGTGAGAGGATGTGTTCCATCCCATGTGCCTTTGCTGCCTGCCTACCTCTACACTCTCCTCCTCCTCTGCTGTCTGGCTGCCTTTGCCTGGCCTTTCCACCTGTCCCCAAATGCAACGGCCCTGCCCATCTGAGCTGGCTAAGCCTCCAGGGCAAGGCTCCAACAAGCCCAGATGGCTGCTCAAGACCTGAGTCTCTATGCTCCCTGGCCCCCATGCCCCTCCACTGAGGCCTTCCCTTCCTGCCCTGGGAAGTCGGGCAGGGTGTGGGGCTGGCTTCTGAGCCAGGCCCACCCTACCTCGGGGTAGACTCCAATGAGGCTCTCAGCCTTTGTGTAGAACTCCTCCTTGAGAGAGATGACGATGGCCTGGAAGTTGCAAGTCGACTGCTCCTTGATATAATTGGCAACCTGTGGGAGGGGCCACCAGGCACTTAGCAGGGCTGATGCCCAAACACTGCCTTGTGTCTTCCAGTCAGAATTAGAGGCAGAGGAGTGGGGAAGGGGTTGAAGGGCAGGGGAAAGAGATACTGAGAGGCGACCATGGACTAGCATGGTGTGGATGATCACGGGCCCAGCCTCCCGGGCACAGAGAGCAGGCAGCATGAATAGCCAGGGCACACTCTACTCAGGAGCTGCTCCCCAAAACCCAGCCCCAACCTAGAGGCCTCCCTCCCGGGTTTTGCTTTCCTTGCACCCACCTTGCCAATGTTGGTGTTATCCAGGGCAGCATCAATCTCATCCAGGACGAAGAAGGGGGCTGGCTTGTAGCTGAGAGGGAACCAGTAGGTGAGCTGACACTGATGGGGTGGAGGTGGGGCGGGACAGCCCCGGGGCCCATCACACAGTCCAGCTTCCCTTCAGCTTCTTCAGAGACTAAAAAACCCAGGCCTTAATGATCCCTGAGCTCCTAAAGGCCAACAGACCAGCTGAGCCCTCCTCTCCATCCAGCCCTGTATTCCTAGATCCTGTAGGACCAGAAGACATGGTCCTCTCCAGAGCTTCCAGACTAGTTGGGGAGATAAAGCCATCCTAGGCTCTGGTCATAGCAACCCAGCTACCTGGAGGTCGGCCCCACCTGCCTGCACCATGCTGTACCCTCCACCTGGAATGCCTACTGGTCTCCCTGGCCAACTTCTACTCATTCTTTGTATTTCCTGCTCAAGTGTTACCTATCCTACCTTTGAAAGCCTTCCCTGGCCACACATACCCTCCTCCAGATTGAGCTGGTGTCCCTCCTCTGTGCATCCACAGCATACATGCTCATGCAGTTATAACACTTAGCTCACTGCCTGTTTACACATCTAGCTTCCGCTAGACCATGAGCTCCTTAAGGACAGACACCATGTCTGACTCATCTGTGTTCCTAATCCCCCAACATGGTCTGGTACAGAGCAGTCCTCAAGAAACATTTGCTGAATGATGCTGTACAATCAAGCACTAAGTTGTGGGGATCAGACTCAGTCAGTACTACTGGCATTTGGGAGGGGAAGGTCACAGTGGTCAAAGCAGGTTTGCTAGAGGAACAGGAGGAGAATGAGACGTGAAGGGGTGGTAGGTAACGGTCAAGCTAGATTCACATGGTAATGGCTGATTAGCAAGCAACCATGTGAGCAAAAACCTGGTGGTAGAACTGAACGCATGCAGAGCCAGTGAGGGCATGCTGAGTGAATGAGTGTGGATAGGAAAGACAGGTGTAGGAAACCAAGGCCAGACATATTGTAGTAGGTAGGGAAACAGGGACACAATCCAGATTCCACCAGAACATCTTCACCTCTGCAGATCTCTGCATATCCTTGAGCCCAGAGCCTCCAGTGGACAAAGCCTTACCTGTGGATGGCAAAGAGCAGAGCCAGAGCTGCCACTGTTTTCTCTCCCCCTGACAAATTGTCCATAGGCCGGAAACGTTTGCCAGGGGCCACACAGTTGTAGTTGATGCCATCCAAGTAGGGCTCTTCAGGGTTTTCAGGGCCCAGGAATGC